TTCATTTAAAGCCTGAACTTGCTGCTGGTTGCTTTTTAAATGCCGTCCTCAATCAGATCCCAGAAGCAGATATTTGTGTTATAATAAATGCACTGATGCGGATTTCTCAGACCAAAGGAAACAGAATATCTGTGGGTATTACGTAAACCAAGCAGCGAGTGGAGGAGTAATTTCTGCTCGTTGTCACTAAGTGGACAACATCGGTGATTGTGTTTACAGCTGCTGAAGTGTTCCTGTTTACCCCATTGGGTTTGAATCCCTCATGCTCCCTCTGAGTCATAATAAATGTTGCTGGATAATGGCGGACGGCAACCGCAAGGTCAGCTGTGGGTGATAAAAAGCAGACCTGCTGAGGTATTTATTTCCATCTGCAGGCATTACAGATGTCCGTTTACTCAAATAACCCAACGACAAGCCTCATGCAGTGAATGTCAGGACAGAAATGTGCATGTTGTTAATGAAAAGAAGAACCCTCCCAAGGCCAGAGGATGAAGCCTACTCATGCAAGGAGCTTTTATCTGTTTGAAGAAATCAAATGAAGCTGCAGCGACACAGGATGGGTCCATCTGGAGAAAGCTGCTGTCCTTCTGTCTTAATATGCTCCACCATAGAATAAAAATATTACATTTAGAATAAAATACTTATATAACACGTGCTGCGTATCCTTCCCCATAATCCCTTATCATCTGAGAGGATTATATTCGTTCTTTTTTGGATTGTTCAAAAGAGGCCGGCGGGGGATGGGTTTAAGCAGAGTTTGTTTTAAAGTCACAAAAAAGGCAAAATAACTTGAGTCTAGGTCAAAGGTTAAAGATCAGTTCAACTAAAAAAATGAATAATGTCGTGTAAATCTGAAGAATCCATAATCTCTGGATTCTTTATAAGCCAAGGCTGACCCTCGCCATCCTCTCCTCCAGGCCATAGAAACCAATCTGATGAGGAAGTCGACCAACGGGCTGACCTACATAGCGGAGTGGAAAGGAGGGCTGCTGGAGCACAAGATGGGCCACCTGACGTGTTTCGCCGGCGGTATGATCGCTCTGGGCGCAGACGGGGCCCCCGACGACAAGACGGGCCACCAGATGGAGCAGGCGGCGGAGATCGCTCGCACCTGCCACGAGTCGTACGCCAGGACAGGTAACTTTATCTGCTGGTGTGATATTTGATAGAACATCCACTGAATGTTCATTTTAGTCACTAAGAGTTTTTCTGTGAGATTAAGGAATTAAGCTCCACCTAAAAGCTGGTTCTTCTTTTAAATCAGACTTCTGAATGTGGGCTGACCTTGTCCAATTGGAAAAATCTGGTGGTCACAAAAACTAATATTGTCTTTTTATTGAAAATAAAAGCAAAATATGGAAGTTACATGGACTTTAATGTCTTTTTAGTAATATAATAATAATTCATTTTATTTCTAAGCCCATATAAATCCAGAGGACACTAGGGCTGAGTATTTTGGCCAAAGTCCTGAATCGATTCGATTTTGATTTATACAGCTCTAAATTGATTAATTTCGATTCGATCTGATTTTACAATATTGAAAGTGATTCAACTGTGTTTCAATATAATTATGTATTTAAATTTTTTCCTGTCACATTAAACACAAAGTGCAAACCTGTAAATCAGACAGTTTAAACTTGAGATGTGAATAAAACTGTCTCATAAGTGAAAACTTGTTAGTGAAAAGTGAAAAAGTGAAGCCTCACTCGAGCAAGCAGACGTGACACAGCAGACATGCATGAGCTGCATTATCTTCAATGCACAAACCATATGTGCAGCGTTGTCTGTATCAACTACAGGGTGTTTGCTGGTCAGCCCCCATTTATTAATGTCTTCAGTCAACCTATTGGC